CACATTTGTAATATTGTGTTCATTCTTGGGCTCATTACATCAGGAAAGACATTGAATTGTTGGAAAGAGAAGGGTTACTAGAATGGTGCCTGGGATGGAGAGGTTGTTATACGACAAATTGTTTTCTTTTGAAAAAAGAAGAGTTAGGGGGGATCTGATTGAGGTGTTTAAGATTGTAAAGGGAATTGATAGTGTTGATGTATCATCTTTTTTCATATTTAACAGTGAGAATAGTAGGACTAGGGGACACAAATATAAATTTTGGCAAGGTAGGAGTCATCTTTAGCTAAGACAGTTTTATTTTTCTAACAGGGTGGTTGGCCTTTGGAATGAGTTGCCTTCAGATGTTGTAGAGGCAGTAAATTTAAGTGGTTTAAGAAAAAGTTTGATAAGTGTATGAATGAAAAGGGTTGGGTTTAAAATTATTTTATTTTTTTAATCATTTTAATTTAGTTTTGAGGATGGAACAGCTGAGATGGACCAATAGGTCCCATTTTGTCCCAAAATATTATGTTATAAGGAGCCAAAAACTGAACACGATATACATAGTGACCTATACAATGAAATGATAACTTCTTTAGTTTTGTATTCAAAGTACTATTGTAAATACAAACCAAAGTCCATTTGACCTACCACCAGCAACAGCATACTGTTTGGATAGTTTATGAGACTGCTCAACCAAAATGTTAAGATCCTTTTCTTCCATACCACTCTTAAGGTTCTTCCCATCAAAATCCAGGATCTTAATATCATCAGCAAATTTAAGGAATTTATTGATCATGCTTTTATCTATTTCATTGATGTCAATCAAAAAGAGCAAAGGTGTCAACACTGATCCCTGAGGTGCCCCACTAGTGAAATTTATTCAGTTTGAATAAACTATAATTCTAGAAACCCTCTGCTTTCATCCAGCCATTTTTCAATCCAACAAGCTAATTTATCCCTTACTTCATAAGGATTATTTTTGTAACAACACTTTTATATAGTACCTTGTCAAATGCTTTCTTAGAATTCAGATACACCAAATCCACACCTTTACCTTCATTAACATTACCAATAACCTCTTTAAAGAATGTAAAAAGATAAGTATGGTAAAATTTTCCCAAAGTGAAACTTTTGTTTCATCCCCTCTCTCCCTCTTTTTTTTTTGTATTCTATCTCTTTTGAATAGGCTAGAACCCTATATTTGAAAAACATTTGTCACCCAAACTATGTCTAACCAAGTCTCAGTTATTCCCATAAATACAAAATTTTCTATTCCAACAAGTGCTGTAATCTAGTTTATCTCTAATACCTCTTTACATTAAAATAGTAAATATTTAGTTAACCCTTCAAACAAATTCTGTACTTCATTTCTTCACTACACTTTTCCCTATATCTGATTGTTGTACATTATGTTTATTATGGCTCTCACTAGTGTGTGGCCCTAGTTTAAAGCTGTCCTTCCAAACAAGTCAGCCTCAATCTTACTTAAGTGTAAATCATCCATTCCTAAATGCTTCCTTTTCTCATTGACCTGACCCCACGAATCCAACTAGTTAACTTCTTGTCCTTATATATTAACTTGAGCCTAGTGTAACATTCTCTTATATTCTCATTCTCACAATTGTGTCTTGGCAGTATTGCTGACAGAATTAAGTTCTGAATCCTTTCTTTAAATACATTTATCGACCCCCTGTACTTATCAGTTAGTTCCTCTGACTTCCTCTCTCACACGTCATTAGAACTGCACAACAGACTGCGTCATTGTAAGCATTCTTTTCTGTCTCATTAGTTCTTTCAGTTGTCCTCCACCTCTGTCCTTGGGTAGCATAATCTAATTTTTTCTCCATGTTTAACCCACAGACAATCTTATTCATGTTCTCTTCCAAAGAATTACCTGTAAATATAATCTCCTAAAATTTTGCACTACCATTCCTACTTGTCCTTTTCCTATTCTTCCTTTGCCAACTCCTCATCTGCATTTGCTGAAGACTGAATTCTGAAACAGTGTGCTTACCTCTCTTCACACAGTAGCTATTCCTTGCATGTTTGCCTTTGAGATTTTGTGAGTATCACTAGTCTTGAGTATCTCCCACCTAAGACACATTATAATGTGAATTGCACTAGTGTATGATGTAATTATCATACAACAGTAGCCTTCTACCAATTGGAGGGTGACACATCCTCCATGTGCAGTAGATCCCCATAAGCAGTTGCACTCAAAATTAACTTCATTCTTATCTAAGGAACTGTCTTTATATTTAAACTTTTATCATTTCTGTGAGATTTGCACTACCATTTCTGTGTTAATTTCCTTTTAGTTTGTTTTGACTTCAATTTAAGGCTACATTGCAACAAAATAATAAAAACAAAATGATTTGTAGAATTGCTATAACAACCATGAATTCTTAAACGATAGTAACAAGTACCCCCTCCCAAGGCTCTGGCAATGTTGCTAACACGATTCCTACTTTTTCTGTGGCACACAGAGATATTGTATAAGTTCTTACCATTGGTGGAGGAAATGCTGCCCAGTGGCATATACTAATGTACTGTGGCATGACAGGGCAGACCAAGCCCTCTAGCCTTGGAAGGCAGTCAGTCTAGGAGTCGAGCCTTGATAGGTGGACAGGTGGATATTATTCATTTGCTCTGGCAGCACCTGCATCTTGCCTGGTTCCAGGGTATTGAACTTTTCCTTTCCTTAGGAGTAAACCAGCCAAGTCAAGAGTGGAATCTTGATGCATAGGCATCCCAAGATCTCCACAACAAGTGCCCAGGTATGTTGCAACCTGGATAGGACACTAACTTCATCACCAGTGTAGAAACAACATGGATAGCAGCAGTTATGAGTTACAAGTTCATCTGATTTGGTAGTTGCCCACAAGAGAGACATCGATCCAGACACCCAGACACGTGGGGCAAAACTGCTGAGAACAGGAGTGACTTGGAAACAAGCGGTTAAGCTGGGCCTCAGAAAGAAAGAGAAGAGGATGAAGTAAGAAGCAGAAGAAAGAAGAGAATATGTTGGAAAAATTAAAAAGCTGCACAATCAACTTCAGGACACAAAAGTTGTACAAGTGACAGATGTTGGCAAACATGCTCTTCTTGAATTGGATTATTCAGTTACACCCAGAAGTGTCAACAGAATTCTTTTCACAGGCGTAAATATCTATTGTTTTATAAGACAGAAAAATGCCAACTACTACTGGAGGATCATCAACTGTGAAAGAAATGACCAGCATAGTTCTTTGAGTCATGGGTTCTTTGATGCCTTTCCTGCCTCTTTACTTGTTGAGGACAATGTTCCTCCTCCAAATCTCTGTGGATTTAATTACTCAGGATTGTTCTTTACTTTCCCTTTCTCCTTTGGCTTTCATTTCTTCCCACTCTTTATTACTTGACTTGCATGCTGAGAATTATTTGGTGCTTTTCTCTTTTCCAGGTATACGACCCCATAAGATGGATTTCTCTACATGGTAAGGGGACCTCTTAGGGAAGGTTTGGTATCTTCAGTTTACCTTTTCTGGGATCTGAGTATCCACCCACGTGTTTGCCGTGCATGGTGTCCTATGAAGGGGAGGAGAGGATCCTTGTAATTGAGGGGTGTCATTGATGGGTCAGTTTATATTGGTGGCACTTTGACACATCACTTTGGCCTTGAATTCAAGCAAATGGGTGGCCCTGGGGTGGCTCCCCCAGGGTCATTTGGCTGGTCCTGGTGGGATAGGGGCAATTAATTATCAGTGTTGGACATTCCCAACAGGTGTTGTGGACATTGAGTCTAATGCTGGTGTTTGGGTATAGTGCCCACGAAACCCTGTTGTAGCTACAATGTCAATGTTTGGCATTTTAGTGCATCCCCTTTGTAGGGCTCTATGGTGGGCTCCTAACCTTCTCTGTTGTCTCCAGTGTCAGTGGTACAGACATTCTAAGACATCTTGTTGTGGTTCTTTGATGTGTGCTTGTTGTAGTGGCAAAGACCATGATGCCTACGAATGCCAACTGGACCCTCATTGCATCAATTGTGGTGGTTCCCACTCCTCATACTTTCATTCTTGCCTTAAGAGGGTGGAGGAAAAATAGTGCTGTCAACAACATTTCTTATCTTGAGGCCTGGAAGTTGTTGTCCCCAGTTTTATCTCAGATATATGTTGCTGCACTCCATTCCACTGTTGCAGTGGGATTGCAGACATCTTTCCATGCCTCCATGAGAGCCTTTCTCTCACCATGCCAGTAACCCATGGGGCAGTGGTAATTTTGAGGGAGATTGGCTGCTGTCGATACCACCAAACTCATGTACCATAGTGGAAGTTGGAGCAGGCTAACTGGCTTTCCTTCACTTCTCTCTTGGATCTTGATCCTGCTGTCATCAGTCTTCCATCTAATAATAACTGCATAGAGGCAGTAACTAATTGTATAATCCAAACAGCTGTTCAGTCTGTCTCCAAAACCTAGATACGTTTCCCACAGCATCGTCATCCATGGTGGTCTGCTGCCTGCTAATGGCTTGTGTGCAAAAATCTCAAAGGCAGATGCAGTAGGAATAGCTAATGTGTGCACATACATTTCTTGGTAAGAAAAATGTTATCTGTTACTTAATTGAATCTTCTCATTACAATCAGTTATCTACTTCAAGCCCTAATACTGTTTTTAATTTGCTGAAAGTCATTTTTAGCTACTGTATAACTTGTGTGTAAAAAACTTAAGTTTCTTATTAAGTCCTGATGTTTACATTTCTCATTTTCAATATTTGTTGCTCACTTTAGGATAGCTTTCAGCCTCTAAACTCTAAACAAATTGCACATCTTCACCACTGGCTTGGTTGTTTGTTTGTACCATTGTGTAAGGAACACTGTACTAATACATTAATGGGTGAAGTCAATTAATGGATTAGCAAATACCACTAATCTTTCAGCTCTAGTTTTAGAGAATGATAAAAAATGGAGAGAGTATGAACAGACCAGCAAAGAACAAAGCAGTGAAGAACAAATGACAATAAACATTTATATTTGTGAGGAAAAGACAATAGTGGAAGGATTTGAAGTTATGGTAATACATTTAAAAAAAAACAAATCCAAAAATCTTTTGAATCAAATAACGTGATGCTTTCAAATTCTTATAACCATAACCCAAGTTTATGAGTTTGATATTGCTGTAAAGCACAAGTGCAAGCTTAATATTAATAAAGTTATTGAACAATTAAAAACTTGTTCAATGCCCCTTCTTCCTCTACTTCAGACTTCATATTAATTCATGAATCTGCAAGGGAGCATCTCAAGAATTTCAAATTATACCTCAGATGAAGAATACTTTATTTTAGACTTGTACATATCCTTTTAATGCACATTTTACATTTGTCTCTTGAACTAAGCTTAATCCAGGTTTTTAATTTGTAGAAACATTTTTCTTTGATTCAATTTTACATGTTGCCATTACTTAGTGAGACAGTGATCACAGTATTGCTACTGTTTTTAGTACTTTTATTAAATTACAAAAGAAACTTTTTCACAGTGCAGACACATACTGTTGGTTAGAATACTTAATATATCTACTTTTTATTTTTTATTATTTGAAATGTAATTTTATGTTTTACTATTTTATGATAATGATTATTCTACATTAGTTTATGGATTTCAGAAACCTAGATTCATTGAATCTTGTGAGATATTGACTTAATGGCCAGAATTACGTTTAAGAATGGGGGGTACCCAACTGATGAAATAATGCAGTCTAATCAATATTTTTAATGTAGTGAAATATTTATAAATAATGTAGTTTAAAGTCATATTTAATTAGCTATGCTCTTTTCTAGATATACATGTTTAGTTCTGATCTGTGTAAGTAGTTTTGTTTGATCAGGAGTTAGCTCATCACAGAAAATATACAGTTCACAAGTGGTACTTTAATTATCATTTATCTTGATCAGCTTAATGGCTTTTTAACTGTCTTTTTATTTCTTTTTTTAAGTAGAACTTCAATAGTTCGTTTGCTGTGGAACTTGTTTTTATAAACTGTTTTTTTGCTTTTAGGAAAAAGCTCCGTTCAGTAGTTGAAAATAAGTTACTCCGTATTACACCTGAAGATGCTGACATTCTTATTCCAAAGAAAGAAGAAATAACTAAGATGAAAGTTATGACACACAGTGGAAATCATGTAATGATCTATTTTTGTGGAGCAAATCCTATTTTATTTGAGTTAGAAAACAGGATTATACCCACAGTTTACACTTTATGGAAGTTTCCAAATTTACTTTCCACTGTGACTACATGGACACCTGTGTTTGAAAAGCTAATGGGAGGGGCTGACCTCATGTTGCCAGGGATTGTGAGGAGAACAAGCGAATGTCTCTCAACTCTAAGATCTTTGAAAGAGAGTGATATCTGTGCTGTAACACTTTATGGTAACAAGACACCCATTGCAGTTGGAACTTGTGTTGTATCAGGTGATGAACTGGCATCAGTTGATGCCAAAGGAAAAGCAGTTCGAATTTATCATCTTTATGCTGACTTGTTATGGTCACATGGGGACAGAAGTGAACCACCTTTTTTGGAAGAAACAGAAGATACTGCTGATAGTCAAAATGATGAATTTTATGCTTGTGATACTAATCATGATGAAATGTCTTCTAACAATGTAGCAGACAGAGATAATTGTCCTGAACAGTATGAAACAAAGAAGTGTGAATATCATGAAAAACCTCAAACTTTAACAAACTCACAAGGTTTTGAAATGGTAAAAGGTTTTGAAGATCTAACTATTCAAGAAGGTGATCCAATGTGTGAAAATCTTCCAGAAAATACTAATGTTGAAGAACAACAAAATGCCTCAAATAACTCTCTTACAGAAGAAATAGACTGTCTTCTTAAGGAATGTTTTTTCACAGCATTGAAAATTTTAGGCAAGAAAATAAAATTACCTATTCTTACTAGCATATTTTATAGAACTCATGTTCTTGCTGCATGCCCACCTGGTTGTCAGCTTGATATAAAAAAAAGCAGTTTCAAAAAGTTATCGACATTCCTTAAGGAGATGGAAAAAATTGGGGTTATTGTTGTTAAAGAAATGTCCAAAGGTGTTGAAAACATAGTATCTATAAACATAGAACATAGGGAGTTAATCTATTTTAAACCAAATCCTGCTTTTGAAATGCAGCTAAAGAACTTTCAATGTGGTGCTATGGGGTGTTCAAACAAAGTTGTAAATCACCTGCCCAGTATCAGAGAATTGCATACTGTGACAGTGGCAGTGTTGCCTTTGTTTAAACCTCAGAATTACAGGTAAGGTGTATTATTTGTTGAAGTGTCTTTAGTTGTGTGTTTTGGTAAATCATTCTGTATGTGTGTATGGACATATTTACTTAATAAATTTGTTCATGTAAATATTTATTCAGTTGAAAGTTCCAAAGTGCAACTATTAATTTTTTTAAACCTTTCAATGGATCTAAAGAAAGTAAAAGTAAATTATGCTTTTGAAAATACACTTGGTAAAGTTAGGTTTCTCATTTCACCATGTCTTATTTGCAGTATTATTTTTGTAATTATTCTACTTCCCAAGCCTCTTATTTTATTTTAATATGATTTTTAGTGTGTTCCTAAACCTTGTGATGTTTTCAAAATTAAATTTAAAAGTTAGAGCTCAGTTTTGCATGTTGGTATAACATATTAACTCTTTCAGCACAGGTTCGGTCCCTGGGACTGACCTCATAACCATATTGTGCTTGTTATAGTTTTCATGCTATAACTTTTAAATTACTAAGTCAATGTTAACAAAATTTGACAGATTATGAGTAAACATTACAATGCTTTAATATGCAAAATATAAAATTATATACAATAGTATATACATCTTACTCTACTTATCTTAGTCATATATCTTCAGATAATCTATCATATTGTTGAATGTTTTCAATACACTAGCTTTAATTTGATGTGAGTCATTGTTAATTACATTCACATCACTCTTAGGTTTCTGTATAATAACTAGGGGTCAAATCTTACTCGCCTTGTTCCAGGTGTAAGTGTTAATTCTGGTTGATCCACTATTGAGCCTCCTGACCATAAGCTGTAACCACGAGTCACTGTATTGGTTTGCATGTTACTGGCGTACTAGGTACATTTTCTTGTATTGGTGTACTACTTTTGTCACTGGGGTTGCTAATTTGAATAACTTCAGCTGTTATGACTTCATCTAGCACAACATTCTGTTCTTCAAGTGTAGGTTCTTCCACCTCCATGACTTCATAATCATCAGGGGTTATTTCAGTTTCACTGGTGTTTTCAGTTTCTTTTGTAAGTCATTATTTTGTTCCTTTAATTTAGTTTCATCTGTTAATTGCTCATACTGATATGGTTGGGAATTTTTTACTAGTCTTAAACTATTAACACGTACTAGCTGTTTACATTTACCATGTATTTCTTGAATCTCAAAGTTAACTGGCTTGTTTGTTTAATTACCCTAAAGGTCCTCTCCATAATTTTGCTGGTTTTTTCACATTTCCTTTCTTAATCTTAGTTTTGTGCTTTCTTATTTACCTGCTTTTCATGATGTTCAGCAGCTTGAGTCAAATGTTCATTGGCTATTTGAAATGCTATGTGTATTCTCTGTATCATTTCAGCTTTGTAGTCTTCATCTGTTCCATAGTTAATTTTACTGGGGGCTAATATTTCTTGCATAGGTAGCATTACATCTCTAATATGTAACAGAAAGAATGCATGTATTTCTAGGTGAAAGATATTGCTAAAGTGGCAGGGACAATGCAGTAACAATGTTAAGAGTGGTTTGACTAGTTCTCTATATAATTCTTCTTCTCGCTAATTATAAAATAACAGTTGAAAAAAACGTTCTTCAAAAATCTCTTTTTCCATTGGTTAGGAACATCTAGCTGAACTAAGTATTATTAAGTTGAGAAATTGCAACTCAATGGTAGAAAGTGGGTGTTAGGAGCTCAGAGAAATTTATCTGTCCTTTCTGTGAATGTGCCATATGGAACTTGAAAGAAGAATGTGTAAACAGAGCAATTAACCTACATTCTTTCTATATATGGAAAGTTAGCATGAGTCAAGAACTGTTTAAACTACAAAGACACAAATTTATCATTTTGTGAACTTGCAGATCATGACAGATAGACTAGTCTCAAAATCAGAAAAAAATGATATTACAACTGAAAACCTACATAATTCAGCATTTGAACTACATATTATATAATTTTTATCATGATACTTTGCCATTACAATCAACTTAGAACTATTTCTTCGAGAAATGTTATGAATTGTTTGGGTAAGATTACATTTGAATAAAATACCATAAAATGGACTTTTCAACAATATTTATAATGACAACATACAATTAAACAAAACAGCCTCAAATTATGGCCATATGTTTACAATTACAATAAATCTTTCACTATCAAAATTATAAAATTTTCAAATGTACAGTAAAGCTCAACTTGGCTGGTTACAGGCATCAACATAATTCAGAACACAAATGCAGTATTTTATACAACCATGTTAAACCAGATTGAGATTCTGAAAGCATTCTAGTTATCAAACATAAGAGACTGTATATATTTAAGCTGTGTATGTACTCTATGAATTATCAGGGAAGTATCATTGATACCAATGTTGTTTGCAGTGAACTGTACAAATTCCCCATGTATTAAGTTTGGAGGTATAACAGCTGCATTTTGAGGATTCCTGATGTTGAGGGTACTTTCAGCAAGAGTTTTATCATAGCTGAGGGTATGTCCTGCATTGTGGAATAACTGCACAAGTTGCTTTGACCTGGTTGCTTGGTGCAATGTGCTCCGAATCCCAATATGAATTGGAGTCCATTTCTTGCCTTTGCTGACACCATAGACCATATCCTGGCCAACATTAAGAACCTTGGTTCTTGTTGCATTATTTTCTGATTCATCTGGCTCGTTATCTAGTAGAAACTGACCCCATAGAGCAATCTATGAAACATAAATAAAATATCTGGAATACAGTATGCTGCATCATCCTTATTCACATCAAAACCTTTAAGTCCTGCTTCTTCTGTTTTTACAGGCTGAATTAACACTTCTTCATTTTTGCTTAGTCCTCTAATTTAGCTTGAATAATGAATTGACTTCTGGCAGGCATTTCTGTTACTTTAACTAATCCTACAGATACTCTTTTTATCAGATTCTCCTGTTGGGATGCTCTGCTGCTCACGTCATTAAGTCATCTGAGGGTTCTGACTTACTGATTCTCTGTTTTAGTTTCTTGATCTTACATTGCCTTACTTTAATTTTACTTATCACTTTCTTAGTATTTTTGGAATTATTGTTATTATTACTATTACTACTAATATTTTTGCTAAGCTCAGGGTTTTTCTTTCCATTTTCTTTAACTTGATCTCTCATTAAACACTTCATATTCTTACCATGCTGACTGTTGTGTATCACCATGTTTAGGAGGATCAGTGCTGTTGCGTATTGACAGTTGATCCTTAGCCTTGCTAATGCTACCATTCGGCACTTTGACTATTAATTTCAGTCAGCAAGAAGATATCAGTTGTTGTAACTTTAGCAAAACTTAAGATCTCCAATTTTATGTGCAGCTTATCTTTGGTAAGAGATATTTCAGTGTCCTAATCTTGTTAAAAGTCTTGCCTTAAAATCTACATTTATCTGCTTACAAATGTAAAATGAGAGTTCAACTTTCAAATTTCCCATTTTTAGTTGAACAATATATTTGCCTAGCATTTTAATAGGATGTCCTTTTATAAATGTTAACTCTTTCAGCACAGCCTCGGTCCATGGGACCGGCCTCGTAACCATTTCATGCTTGTTATAGTTTTCATGTTATAACATTTAAATTAGTAAGTCAATGTTAATGAAATCTGACAGATTATGAGTAAATATTATAATGCTTTCATATGCAAAATATCAAATTTTTGTATTAAGTCTTAAGGTTTGTAAAGCAATGTTTTTCTCATGTCTTTTTTTTTTCTTTTTGCATGTTGCCTATCTATCATGCAAAGTAATTTTCATTTTAAGATTAAAAATACTTTTATGCATCAGAAAACAATACAGGCTAACAATACAGAAGTTACAATGATGCGGCTCATGTGCACTCATGTTACAGTATCAAATAACGTAAAACTTACCTTTGGTCTGTACAAAGTAACTTGTCTTGGCTGTGTTTTAGTAGACTTGTATTTTTTTAAATACAGTCACATTTCAATTATTATACATTATATATGTATATAAGTTATTGCTATTTTGAAATAAATTCTTAAAGTTATTTTTCTTAAAACATAGAACAGTAAATAAAGAAGTAAAGCAAACAATTATATCTTTTAGTTACGACCTTTGTACTCCGTTGCTGCTTGACATAGGCTGCTAAGCCTTTAAAAAATTTGCAAGTGGAGGATATGAAACAAACTCTTTTTTTTTTAGGTTTTATATATATATATACATTTGAAAAACACAAAAATCATAAATTACTACATTAATACCAAAGAATTCAACTATAATTTATCACGCTTAGTAACTAAGATGTTTTTTAGTAAAAAAACTATTAAATTTTGAGCAGACTACAGACACACCCTACCTCGTTGAAATATTAGTTCAAAAGAAAGAAATGGTGCCAAGCTTGTTAAAATAGATGAGAAAACTACTAGGGGGACATTCTGAACTTACAGTTGGTTGTTCATATCATGTATAGAAGTGTATATAAGGGAGTGTTTCCAAAAATGGAAAGAGGTGGGTGGGGTGCCACTGTGTTTTATTTATTACGTGAGCAATATCTTAGCAAATTGAAAAGATAAGAGACTCTTATTTTATATTTTAGCTTGTTCAATATCTCTACTTTAGTGTTACTTAGCAAATCTATTCATAATTTAATTTTAAGGTATCCTGGATCATCAGTTCATTTGGGTGTCCATAAGTAAGTTCTGCGTAACCTATTACCTAGCTCTTGTAGCTTATGTCCAAACACTTTCACTGACTCACCTCGTTGCTGAGTCAAGCTGCGTATCTGTGTCATGATTGTAGTGGGTGTTTCTCACTTTCTGTATTCTTCCATTTACCTCTGTGCTAACTACTGAAAATCTGTGGTTTCACGCAGTTCATCATAAGCCCGAATGTGATGCTTTGCTTCCCCTGCTGTTCTAAGTCTAAGCATCTATGCATCCTGAAATTCTAGCAGCTTTGTTTACAGCGTAGATAAAAATTTTTACATTTTCCTTGATTTGACCTTGAAAAGGTGTTATAGCACTCATTAAGTGTGTAGCACTTTGTGGCCATGCAGGT